GCAGAAATTAAACTGCAACTTAAAAGGCATTGTCAAATTCAATTCTGAATGGCAAGAGTGAAACCAGTCTCCTTCAGAAGCTGGATTAGCTGGATTCTATGGCAGGGAATTATGCACAAAGTACCCTGCCAAAAAAGCTCATGTCGTATTCTGCAAACCAAAGCCGTATTGAAGGCAGTTTCAGAGCTCTGCGTCTTTTGAAGTGCTCTGATTGGTGGGGTTTTCTTTAATGCGAGTGGTCTCTCCATACCGATGAAGACTTATTCGCTGCTCACAGGAGTCAGATTTAAGCAGATCTTTAATTCCGTCTCTTAAAAGAGTAGAGCCGCAGGTGGAATGCTAACATAGTGTCTGCACAGCGGGAAAGCCAGAGATGAAGGTAAGGCCCCCTGTGAGAGAAATTCCCAGCAGCCCTTGAGGCCCACAGGCAGAGGGGAAGAAGAAACAGCCCTAAAGCCAACACAAAGGCGGAGGTTTTACTTCTAGGAACACTCTCTCCTACCTCACATTTCCATACGGACATCCTCAGTAATAAACCACTCGGCTCTGGATAATGAGCCCCGTACTTCTGCACTCATTAGCGACTCCCAGACTCCAGCGCTTTAGCCTGCGACGCTAACCTGACGCCCCACTCATTGATTCTCCGTTAGCAAAGCAGCTAATTAGCCGCACTGCTTTCCTTGGCAAACCTTCGGCCCTGCTCACCACAGGCTAAATCTCCATTAGCCACGAGGCTAATCAACGCCACCAAGCCTTGTTAGCGCGGGATCGAGTCATTAGCGTGGCTTACTTGAGTCTGTGCAGGCAGATGGAGCTTATAACGAGTGAATACGTCTTAAGGTGTTGGGCTTACACGGCTATAGTATGGCCATATTTCCTTTGTTTACCTTCTGTGATGTCTTATGCAAATGTGGCTAACTTTCAACATGCTAACAGCACGCAAAAGCCATGTAGTGCTTCAAGCAATTACAGCAGAGCGCAATCCATTTGGTTCTATTACAATGTAAAACAAGATTTTTTTTAAAGTTGTAAATAAACCAATGAATATTGGAGTACGGTTTCAAGAAAATCATTTTTCATTTTTTTCTACTTCAAGGAGTTTTTGAGTAAAAACTGTTTACTTGTGAAGGAAAACAAATGAAAATTTGCTGAGAATGCAGTCATCCTCAGGCCATCCAAGATGTAATTTCTTCATCAGAACAGATTTGGAAAAAATTTTGCCGTCAGAATGAGGGTCCAAACAGCTGATAAAAACATCACAATAATCTACACCACTCCAGTCCATCAATGTCTTGTGAAGAGAAAAGCTGTGTGTTTGTAAGAAACAATTTAATCATTAAGGCTTTTTAACTTTAAACCATTGCTTCTGTCCAAAATAAAATAAAACAAATAATATTCATAATAAATAAATAAATAAATAGAGTCTATAATGAATAATGTTTTCTCCAGTCATAAAGTCCATCTCCTTTTGTCTCTCACATCAAAATCCAACCACATATGTGTTTAGAACTGTTTTGGCCGCTAAACGGTTCTTGATCTGTGCAGATTTCTCTCCTAATTCAGATGAGGCGACTTGAGAAAGCAATATTCTGGATCATGGACTCGTATTTTAGCAGGAAGTAATGGACTGAAGTTAAAAATGTCTTAATGATAATTATGTTACTTTCAAACATGCAGTCATTGCTTCTTATTGTGGATTATTGTGATGTTTTTATCAGCTGTTTGGACTCATTCTGACGGCACCCATTCACTGCAGAGCATCCATTGCTGAGCAAGTGATATGATGCAAAATTTCTCCAAATGCATCTTGATTTAAGAACATTCAGATATTTATAATGGAAAACAAGACCAAAGTATTGAGCAAGAAAGGATGCCAGCTTGGTTAGTAGTGATTAAACAAATGTCCCCAGTCGTCCATATTGTTTTTGGCATCCATATTGAGTTTGCATCATATATCTCTGGACCACCTATGCACAATAACTGCGAGCTAATTACTGTGCTGATTTGGCATACACAAACCTGGCAGCCTCGTGAAACAATAATCCAGCTATCACAGAGCATGATGGGAAACGAGCGAGGGGCCACAGACCATGTTGTATGTAATTTATACGGCTACGCAGCGGTCTGTGCTGTAATTAACATCATCTTTTCAACAGAGCCACCAGCCGACATCAGCCCAAACAAATGAGCACTGTTTAAAGCAGCTTTTCTGGCCAGCCTGCTGCTGTTGGGTCATTAAGATGATTGAGATGATTTCAGCAAATAAGAAAGAAGCGGTGTGTCTGTGTGTACATTTAGTCAGCCCATAGTCGTCTTACCCTAAAGGTAAGTTTACCATAACGGTTAATGTAATTCATATATTCAGATATAAAAATGTAATTCAGACATAAAAATGTTCTTACTCAGTATTTTTGACTTGTTTTCCATTACAAATATATACTCGTTCTTAAATAAACATATATACTAGAGAAGCAAAACAACTTAAGATAAGTCTTCACAATTAAGGGTGCTTTCACACCTGGCCCATTGTTTCGGAACCTGGCGCGTTTCCCCCCTTAGCTCAGTTAGTTTGGGCATATGTGAACACGGTAATCGCGCTCCGATCCGCGCCAAAACAATTGGTCCGAGATCGCCTGAACGAGGTGGTCTCGGCTCGATTGAAAACGAACTCTGGAGCGGTTCGGTTGTAGTGAGAAAGCAATCCGATCTAACGGACCAACGAAACAGGCTATATCACAATGTATAATGGGTAAAAGCAATCCGATCCAATGGACCAACGAACCAGGCTATATCACAATGTATGATGTACGTAAGTTCCGTGAAAAGCATTAGCTTTGTTGTTTTGCTAATACTTCAAAATGAACCTGTGAATGTCTGTGGGTGACTTGTATTAACAAATTTGTTCCGTTTAGAAACTTTGCCGTGTGAAAGCGAACCGCACCAAGAATAAAAAGCAACATTGTAATAATTTTAATCCCTGTTTCGGAACAAAGCAATCGATCTACAGGTGTGAAAGCACCCTAAGTGAGTTTATGCTTAGAAGAAAAACTCTCTGCTAATGAGGAAAGAAAAATGAGGAAAGAAAAAAATTCCCTTACTTCAAAGGGAAAACAAGATTATTTTCTTGCCCTAATGGCATTACTTGTTCTCAATTTTCAAACTTAATTTTGATTTTTTTCCCCCCCAGAAAACAAGATTTGATATCTTAAGTAAAAAGAGCAATTAATTATACTTGATAAGCAAAAAATAAATAATAAAAATAAAAATAAAATAAAATAAAATACTTTATTTATTTATTTATTTGTTTTTTTTTCAATTAAGTAGTTAAATATTTAATATTTGACAACTGTTTATGACAGAAATGACCAACAGCAATTATTCTGTGATACAAACTACTCAAACGTTGTCTAATTTCACCATTCTAAATTAAAAAAAAAATAATTTACGTGATTCATGTAATCCATAATGAATGTGGCGAGACAGGAAACATTTTGCTGTTTTGCCTTTTTAAATTATGTACACATTCACACTTATTTGTATTTTAAAAATTTACTTTGCAAATAGTTCAAATTGATTATAAATTTGACTTCTCCGTGGGAACAGATTTGGAGAAATGTAGCACTACATCACTTGCTCACCAATGGATCCTCTGCAGTGAATGGGTGCCGTCAGATTGAGACTCCAAACAGCTGATCAAAACATCCCAATAATTCACAAGGGTTAGACTTTATTTTAAGGTGTTCTTGTTTCAGTGTAATTGTAAGAACTGTAAAATTAATATTAATTAACTACATGTACTTACTATGTTTAGGATTAGGGTTTGGCTTAGGGTTACTTGCATGTAAACATGCATAATTAATTGTTATTATAATAGTAAGTACATGTAACGTGTAACGAAGACACCGTAAAATAAAGAGTTACCTCCACAAGTAATCCACACCACTCCAGTCTGTCAATTAACATCTTGAGAAGTGAAAAGCTGCGTGTTTGTAAGAAACAATTCCATTAAGGCATTTTAACTTCAAACTGTTCATACCAAAATATGCAAAAATGCAAAAAATAAATAAATAAAAAAATCCTAATCCATAATAATGCTTCTTCCAGTGATAAAGTCCATCCACTGTTCTCCTCTCACATCAAAATCCACCCACATATGTGACCCTGGAGCACAGTCTTAAGTCTTAAGTCGCTGGGGTATATTTGTAGCAATAGCCGACAATACATTGTATGGGTCAAAATTATTCATTTTTCTTTTATGCCAAAAATCATTAGGATATTAAGTAAAGATCATGTTCAATGAATATATATTTTTTAATTTCCTACCGTACATATATTAAAACTTAATTTTTGATTATTAATATGCATTGCTAAGAACTTAATTTGGACAACTTTAAAGGCGATTTTCTCAATATTTTGATTTTTTTGCACCCTCAGATTCCAGGTTTTCAAATAGTTGTATCTCAGCCAAATATTATCCTATCCTAACAAACCATACATCAATGGAAAGCTTATTTATTCAGCTTTTAGATATAAATATATGTATAAATCTCAATGAAAAAAAAAAAATAGCCTTATGACTGGTTTTGTGGTCCAGAAAGCAATATTATGAATAGAGGATGGAGGTTAAAAACATCTTAATAATGGATTTGTTTATCAGAAACACACAGCTTTTCTCTTCACAAGTCATTAACTGATGAACTGGAGTGGTGTGGATTACTTATGGATTAGTGTGATGTTTTTATCAGCTGTTTGGACTCTCATTCTGACGGCACCCATTCACTGCAGAGCATCCATTGATGAGCAAGTGATGCAATGCTACATTTCTCCAAATCTGATGAAGAACAAAAAATTATGACCTGAGGATGAATACATTTTCAGCAATTTTTTGTGTGAACTATTCCTTTAAAGAGCATGAATCCTCAGGTGATGAAACCATGAAAGAGGCTGCTGGCTAAAAGCAAACAGAAATGTGTTATAGTACAAGAAGTTCTCAAACTCACCCCAAACATTTGCCGTAAATCCGGGTCACGGAAGCGGAAGGGGATGTTGGAGACGTGTAACCGTTTGGGCTGCTGTTTTTCCGTGGACTCTGAATGCGGCACCTGCTGGGAAACTTCTGTTTGCGTCACGTCTTCCGTCTGTCCGAGCAAAACAAAGACAAAAGAGCCGCCCGTTCATGAGTGCCTCCAGGTTAAACTCACAACGAAAGAAAAGAGAATAAGAAAAAAAAAGATGAAGGATAGTAAGTTAGCCTATTTATCCACAGATATCATTTTTCCCTCCAGCTGCACGCGGCTAAACAGACGTTGAGTTATGGTGGCCTACCTGAGGTCATGCATCTACAATACGATTATTAATCTCCACCTGTTACTGTCTGAGGAGCCCAAACACACCAGATATACTGACAAATATCCATCAAACACACACACACTCACGCTCGTGGAGGCCATTGGCTTGTTGTTTCCATCATTATGTTGATGAACCGCCACAAATGAAACTTCAGACGCGTGTGACAGATGTTTTCTCTCTCCGCTAGCTCAGTCGAGCAGAACGACACACACACACACACACACACACACACACACACACACTCATTTTCATGTGCTCGCTTAAAGCAGCATGTCATCAGAATGTCATCATTGAGGTAAAAAAATTTCAGATTCATTCAAACACACACACACACACACACACACACACACATGCATGCATGTACACACAATGACAACGACATCAACAAATCTCCCCAGAGCATCACGGGCTTCATCAAAACATCAACACACAGCACCAACATTATTACATCAGCTCGTAACGGAGACACACACAAATACAAACACACTGTGTGCGGCACGCGTGCAAATACATGCAGTCAGTTCTGCCAGTAATTTGACAAATCTCACGAAAACATGAAAGTATCCTGTATGATTTATTGCTAGAAATATTGCAAGTGCAATTGCTAATGATGCTTCATGAGAGCAGAAACGGGCACAAATTTAAGTCATTATTCACTGAAAAACTCGTCTGCTGCAGGTCTCAAATGTGACTTGCAGCATTATTATAGTTAACTAAAAGCATAAAAAACAGTTCTTGTTACTTAAAATAAAATAAACATGAACTGAACTGGAATAAAATAAAAACGTAAGCTTATTTAATTTAAATAACATTTTCAGCATTTCTCATTTTTGTTTAGTTTAACTTTATGTACTTAACTAAAAAAAATTAAAAAAAAATAATAAAAAAACACAGATATTAAAAAAAATTTAATAAATAAAAATGTCAAAAACCACAGAAAAAAATGGCTAAACTTAAAATGAAATTAAAATGAAAACAAAACAAAAACTAATTAAAACTATTAATACAAATATAATCAAAGTTGTACTAAAATAACACTGGTCACTTGTAAATTTCAAATACTACTGGTTCTCACAAATGCATGCAAAAAAAAAAAGATATCACAAAAACACATGACAAAATTAAACCTTATTTTAATACTATTGCATTGCACTGACACAAATTTAAAAGCCAATAAACACATTTTCACCCCAAAATCTCATTACTGTAATGCATATGTTTGTTTATAGTTCGCATTGATGATTCTCATTATATTCCCATTGCTGTAATAGTGTCATTTTTAATGCTAATGTCATAAAAAGTACTGTTATATATGATTTTTTTTTTAAATCAGCAACTTAATGGCATATAAAAAATACTACAAATCCTGTAATTTAAATAACATTATTTATACTTTTTTCTGCATTACAGAAATGAGAAATGGGGAAATGTGTATAAAAGTCATGAAAATAAATGTTCTAGAAATATTCATTATTTATTTTCCTTTTGATTTCAGGGTGAAATATGACCTGAGCACGTTTTAAATTAAATGATCATATGTTATTATTATTATTATTATTATTGACATTACAGAAATGAGAATTGGTGGAATTTTTTATTTTTTTTTTCTTATTGTTTCTTTTGATTTTGGAGTGAAATATGAGCCGAACATGTTCCTTACAAGTTTCCTGACATTCACCTTGTTTTTCACCTTTTCTTGTTTCTTTTCTTCTATACATGCGAAACACAGGCTGGTGCTGGCGTGGAGTCATGCGGCGCATGATTTATGATCACACGTATGTGCATGCAGACACATGCAGTACATCATTCATTACACACACACTCAACATGCTGCTCCGCTGTAGGGAGGAGTGTGATACATCGTTCTCATTTATCTCCCAGCATTAATCACCCCAGCATCATCATCATCACCATCATCATCACCAGCGTAACGACCGTCGGCTTTATTGTTGCCATTATGATAATCACTGTCCCGGCAGTAACGAGGCTCGTTTGTGCTCTTTTATGGCTCTCGCCTGCGCTCTGACACGCACTGTTCTCACTGACAGCTGTCTGACTCCATCGCTCTGCCAGTGTGTTTCTGGGGCCGCGGGTGAAGACTGGGCCACCAACCCCGCTCCTCCCCCTCCCGCCCTCACTGCACCCTGGGTAATGGGAGGACGCTCGTCCCCCGGGGCCGCGTGGAGACGTGTGGAGGTTAATAGCACACAATGACTTAGCTTAATCTCTCTTTCTATCTTATTCTTTTTTTTCTATCTAATAATCTTCTTATAAGCATAATTCTTACTAAATGGTTAGATTTAAGATGAACATAGCAGTCGTCATTTACTCTCGACATCTGAGCCGCTGAAGACGCAGAGGATTATGTTTGTTTCTGAAGGGAATGCGCCCCCGATCTACATAAATGCGTCTATGTTTGTGCAAATCATTCATGATCCAGTTTCACCCACAGAAGAAGTGAGTATAAGGTTTTTTATGAATCTTTGCAAATCTCCTTTCCTAATAATGTGCTAGTTAGCAAGTTCCACGGCTAAATGTGGCTAAAGTTCGTGAGAACGGCTCTTCACCCCACGGAAGAGAGGGGCGGGGTCAGCAGAGCTCATTATCATTTAAAGGCACATGCACCGAAACGGATCGCTGTGAACAGAGCTGTTTTTGACAGGGTAAAAAGGGTGTTGTTATACACTACCATTGAGAATTTTTAACCAAAGTATGTTATAGAATTTTCATTAACCCTCTGGGGTCTGAGGGTGTTTTGGGGCCCTGGAGAAGTTTTGACATGCCCTGACATTTGTGTTTTTTTCAGTATCTTAAAAACATAAATGGCTAAAGACCCTAAAGAATAATTTCAACTTGTGGAAAATAGGCATCCGATGACCCCTTTAACACACGAAAAACTAAACAAATTCGTCAACAGAGTGTGTTGTAAGCATAAACCTCACTAAATGTTGTTCAATTTATGGTCAGCACAAGAAAAACAAAACATTGTTGCTTTGAATCTATAAAATGTATTTATTTGTAATAATTAGTTTTTCTTGTTGTAAGCATAAACCTCACTAAATATAATTGGATTAATGCTTAACACATTAATTTCAATAATGGTGACATTAAACTGAAACGCTCAAAATAAAATAAAATAATAAAATAAAATAAAATAAAATAAAATAAAATAAAATAAAATAAAATAAAATAAAATAAAATAAAATAAAATAAAATAAAATAAAATAAAATAAAATAAAATAAAATAAAATAAAATAAAATAAAATAAAATAAAATAAAATAAAATAAAAAGTCCCATGTCGGTTGTGAATTAGAAAATAGCAAAAGAGCAATAAAATATCAGTAGCAATAAATTATAAAAAAAATATTTATTAAAAAAACTAAATGAAAAATATATAAAGTTATTTTGAAGCACTTTTAATAAGCCACACTCTCCATCAGCACAATAATCATTTATAATGAGGTTTAAGCACAGGGCCGTGAGCGTCTGAGAACCATTATCAGCCACAGAAAGACTATGAGAGAGAAATCCACCCGGCCCAACGAGATTAACTAGTGAGCGTGTCCACCTTTCTGCTACGCTAAATTATTCATGCTACACCATGTACACGCATAAAGAAAACAGGCCAGGAGGAAAAGAAAAAGCAGAAATCTGAAAGAGCATTACAGAAAGACGAGACGATTTTCTGAGCACAACCGCTGAGAAAACTACACTTTGCTTCTTATTTAAGATGCAATATACTAAGCAAGGCCTCAAAAACTAATGAAACTGCCAACAGGAACTGCATAAAGGCCACTGCACTGCATTCGTGTTAACACTCCCCAATGCACTGAATACATAGTGCTGGTATTTAGACGGGTCTTCAGCTCAGAAACATCAATTAACGTCCCGACTGCATGAAGCAGGAATGATGCAAACAGACACAGCACTTATTCGGTGTCACTCTGTCTGCGAGCGGGAGCTAGTAATACATGACAGTGATGATGTCATTCCAACCGCAGCGAGCATGACACATCGTTACAGTGGCGTCAAACGCTCGCTCTCGCCTCATTATTTTGGACAGAGGAGCATGTACTCCCAAAACACAGCAGCTCCTCACACACCTGCCCATGCACAGCTTCCTCCACGGCTTCATAATGACTGCATCATCTCAATATTTTACAGTGACTTATGGGAGATGAACCCTGTCCACTTTTAGATGCTCTGTGACACAGGGTCATCAGATGAAGTTCAAGTGATTTCTGGTTTCTGGTGTGAACTCAGTAAGATCTGCAGCTGAAACCAAAATTCATATTCTTAATGCATGTTTGTGGTCTTTTTGATTGAACAATTAATCAGTGCACGCTATTCCAAAGGGTAGCAACGCTGAAAATCCTTCACCTAATTTGGTGTTACGGGTCAAAAATCACCCACCTTTTAAAACCATATGCTTTATTATCGCCAAGTCGTGGATTCAATCTTTTTGTCAACTTGTTTTCTTTCATGTAGAACAGGTTGTGTATTTCCTTTGGAACTTATAGGCCTCACTGATCTGAGCTCAAGCACATCAGTTTTGGAGTGAAAAAAACAAACATTATTTGTGGATAAACTCAAAGACTGACTTTGACTGAAATAAAAGTTGACAAAAACACTGAACCCAGTATTTGGTAACAATCTAGCATAACAAGAAATGTATAAGCAATTATTTGTGGATGGTCATTTTTGATCAGGAACACAAGTATAACAAAGTGGGAAGAATGATCACAAAAAAAGTATATATATATATATATATATATATATATATTTTTTTTTTTTTTTTTTGTGTTAATAAAAATAAAAAAAGTAGTGATTTATTCTTAAAACAAGAAAAGTGGAAATAAATAAATAAATAAATAATATATGCTCTGAAACCTTTGTCTTAATTTCTCAAGAACTTGTGCTTTAATAACCTATATTTATTTTATATTAATACAAATAACTGTGTGTGTGTGTGTGTGTGTGTGTGTAATATATAATCAAAAAATACAAAACTATATTACAGTTGTTTATTTACAAATTGTTTTATAAACTGTATTATCAATTATTTTTATTGTTTTCATTAATTATTTTTAATTAATTTCTATTTAGATTTTAAATATAAGACCATATATAAAGGGGTTTTTGATGGATGCAAGGAACACATCTTCACAAGTAAATCATTTATCAAGGTCAGTACAGTCACTACATGTAATTGTTTTGATGTATAGCCGATTTCCTGCAACAAGTCTACACATTTTAGAAAAAATAATGTCCTCTCAGGCTAAAAATGACCAAAACACAACACAGACACACTTCATTTTGATATATTTTTCAGGAAACATTACTTAATATCTTAAGTAATATTTTATCAAAAGGTTTAATTGTTCCATTAAAAAAAAAA